AAGAAGGAGAAAAAAGCAAAAAGACTAATAGCCAGCTCGTGAAAGCACAAAGAATATCTAAGAAAAAACTTAGCAGGATAAAAACACATATGCAAGCTCACAAAACCCTCTTCAGTGGGAAGCTGATGAAAAAACACGTCACTGAAAATGTTAAAGTCTGAGAAAAAAAAATATGGAAAGGTTTGTTTGGCTTTTTATCCTGAAAGAGACCCATCCCTGCTTAGCCCTATCCTTCCTGATTCTACCTTTGACCCCTTCAATCACATTGTTTGTCTGAATTATCTTTTTAAAGACATTTGTTTAATAGATGTAAAAACAGGGCAAAGTGGCTTGAATGACCAACCATTCTGTAAACACAAAGGAGGAGAGGAAAGGCTGTGACAGTATTACAATTTACTGCTATGGTCTTTTATCAGTTTTCCCCCTATTGCCCTTGGATATGTGCCATAGCAATTTACAGGGTAGAGAATTAAGTTCTGGTAAAAAATGTTATATATACACATGAACTGTAATTATCCAGAGCTTGCAAGCTTCTGATTAGAAATGTATGTAACCATATAAAATATATTAAGTGTATTTTAATATAAAAATTAATTTTAAAAACCTGTTTGGAAATTACTGCTGTTTTTCCTCCAAGAAACACCAAACTCCCACAATCATCAGATTCAAGTGCCTGAAGCTCTGACTGCAGAAATCATGACCTGATGTACCTTAATTCCTTGTGTATCCTCCCTCTGTTACCTTTGCCAAGTTCTCCCTGATCAGGCAGTGTCCAATTGAAAGATCTAGAAAGCTGGTACCATTACAGGTATTCTGGCTTCATTCCTGTCTCTTGCCTGCAACATTTCTATCTTCTGTTAAGAAAACCTTTAGAAAGTAGGGTCCCTTTTAGCATTTGTCAGAAAACTAAAAAGATGTTTTCAGCCATACTTTAAGCCATCTATTTTCAAAGTTGTTTTAGAGACTTATCTGTAATTTAGTGGATGTCTAAACTTTCAGTCTCATATGGATATGATGACACATATTACATCTATTACTCTATAATTTGCAATTCTCAATTATCGTATTTTGTCTGTAAATACAGATTCTACCTTTTCAGTTCATGGCAATACTCTCTTCAAAAAAAAGTACCATTATTCAGCATCACTGCAAAGGCATGTGAAGTAACAGACTAATTTGCCTAATGTAATGCTGGAGTTGAGAGCCAGTGGGATTAATATGTTTACAAGTTGTTTCTCCTATAACTAATCATTAAGCTTGCCTAATTTGTGATATTAAACAATGTTCTGACTCTACTTATATGTATGAATGGGCCATCATGTAAAAACATTAATTCCTATCACTCTTGCCAGCACCTATCTATAGAAAGGCTTTTTGTAGAACATTCTCTTCCTGATTAGACCTGCTTTAGACTACAGTACATTATAAAGTCAAGATATTACTCTGTAAAGACTGCTTTTAAAACTGTTTTTATCCTTCTTTGTTAGGAATCATATTTCCATTTAATTTCTTATGCTTTGTCTTCCATAGAAGCTTTTTCATTTTTTTATTTTCAGATTTCACTGTAGCATCTCATTCAAGCTGTATTTTGATGAGGGCACTTTTAATATCTTGCGATCATGTTGCTCTTTAAATTCATTTTCATAATGGCAATGGCAGAAAGGAGAGAAGAGCACTAAACGTGAAATTACAGTAACAGGATCTAAGCCTTACTCATAGCAAGCTTCCACTGATGACACAGATATCTCTTAAGACATCTGTACATCTCGCACACTTTGAATCAAATGATTTTAAAAGGATTTTAGAAGGTGTGACTTCAAGTAATTACGCTACTGTCCACTGGAGAATAAGACTGCTAAAGTTGTAGGCTAAGGACTTGACTGGATTACTCAGGGCCAGGTCTTCCCAATTTGCTCCCCAAGCAGGTAGAATACCCACAGATGTACATCCATGTGCCACAGGCACCATATCACCCTTCTGGTTAAATATTCCAGAGTTTCTCTTCAGATTCCAAGGATTCACATCATACATTCTTCATACACTGATAGCAAAAATTACTCTGAGTTTACATTATTCCCTTTTTTCTGCACTAGCACAGAGGCAGTACACCCCATACACTAAAAAGGCCTATTCTGGCAAAAGTCATTAAAAAGGAAGTACAAGAAAAAGTAAAAAAGAAATAATTACCAAACACAGTTCTAGCTGGAACAGACTCCTTATTTATCCAAAATGAAACTTGAGAAAGGATCACAGTCATAATGCATGGGATATAGGTCTGAATCATAAAATAACCCATTTTCCGTCTGAGGTGGAAGTAAACGGTCATAACAATATATTCACCTAAAAAAAAAAAAAAAAAAAGAAGAAAATATTTTTCTGTCTGCACATAGAATTTTTGTGTTGCAGAATAACTGTTTCAGACTATCAACCAAGATTGTTTGAGATTATGCTATTCATACCACTTAATGTGTATAGAAATATATGTTCCTTAGAGACAAGAAAGAAACAAAGTTTTAAACAAAAAAAAATATCTGGTAGTAGTAGGTCCTTACAGCATCATTCAGAAGCTGCTATCAAAAAATACTATAAATATACAGCTAATACTGGATCACTTTTTACAGCATAAGCACGATTTTAAAATTTTTTTTGGCATCTGTCGAAGAAGAGACTCACAAAACAAAAGCTATCTACCTACCATAGTATCCAGAACATTGTGGTACCTACCTGCCAAATAAAATAGTAACAACAATGATGCACACTAAATTACATGGAATTATCCCAGCTTTTTACTACGCTTATACATCACCACCACTATGATAATTAAACAAATGCAAAAATCATTGACAAGAATTTGAAATAGTGTAAGTTTGTCTAAAATATTATCATTCATATTAGAAAAAATGCAGTTTTACCATAAACTGAATAAACTGTCTAAATAAAGTACTACAGAATGAGCATTTTGCGGATAGCAAGGAAATTCTATTGTTAACTTATAATAATCAATATACCGAGAAGTAAATTTCTAGTTTCTTCCAAAATGCTATTTTATCTTTGGAAAAAATATTCACAGAGCAATACATCAAATTTATTTGCTTTATCTGTTTCGTTTTGACCATCTCACAACACCCAAACTTGCTGATGCATAGAAAATTATTCCAAATTTTAAAAATATTTTGGGAATAAGCCTGTTTATCACCACACTGCTCATCAGTGATACTTCACTCATTTCAGATGCCTGTAGTTGCCATTTGCCTTATTTCTTACAGCACAAATCAGCAGAAGTATCTATTGTGACTAATGCATTTGTGCCTATCCTTATCCGACTAGAGGATTTTTATGGCTTTAATAACCCATTCTGTATGCTGTACTTCTATCCCGAGCTGTTTGCACCGCCAAACAAAGGAATTCTTTTGCACATAATGTGGATACAGTGCTGAGAAATTACTTCCTCACCCAGGCATCCTCTTGACTCTTCAAACTGCATTTTAAGCAGTGATTAAATGCTCATTTTGTCCCTCAGAGTAATGATCTCATTCTAGCTTTCTGAAAGACTGTCACAATCTACTGTAATGAATCTGCAAATGTAAATCTGAAGGACAGAAACCTAATTCAGATTTATGCTCTCAGCCCTTAATATATACCCTATGACATTCAGTAGAATACCTTACAGGAAGGAAAGAAAAAGGCCTCAGGAAATGTTACAGGGTTAGTTTTACCTCAAGTTAATTTTTACTGATGAGAGTCCTACCTGTAATAGATTTAATGGTTTCCGTTGATACTGTATGCCCAAGCAGGTCATACTGAACTAAACTGGAAGACTCCTCAGGAACTTCCACTGACTTCTCAGGTCCTTTTGTCCAGGTATAAATCATTTCACTCTTTGGATAAGCATCTACAACACAGCATCAGTTTGCATAAATAGGAAACTTCTCACACCTTACTAAGAACCCAATCCAAACCTACTGAAATCAAATAGCAAGACTCACACTAATAACCTTAGAAGATACCCTTCACATTAAGTTACCCCCAAAAGCCACCCTCAGAGGAGAATCAATAGCAGCTAAGGTCATATGTCAAGTGCCACACAGGAATTCTTTCTGGATCAGCCCTCATTGGGCATGTAAGGTTTATCTTTAAATTATTTTAGAATTTTCTATCTAAAATTTTGTCAGTAAAATGTACTTGTATACAAAAAAGAGCATGTATAAGGAGGATACATTTGGGAGACTGGGTGCACATTTCTTTACAGAAAAGAATGACTATACTAAAAACTATATAATATTAAAAACTATAATATTTTAAACTTGTGTTTAAAATATTTGCCAGAAACCAGATGTCAGTAAAAAACTCACAATAGACCAAAAATAAGCACAAAGAAACATTTCACATTTAATACAAAAGACATAACTTAGGGCTAGCATTCAATCCCCACACAGCCTAAACTCCTGTTAAAATTAAATCAAATCAGTCTTGCATTTGAAATGGCTACATCTTATTTCAAGTTTTACTGAGGAAAATATCAGATTAGTGTCAAGTGCAATGTCTGCTGGCTGGTGATTCTGCCTGAATAAATATGCCCATGGAGGAGTCCCCACTGTTGAAGCTCCCCTACTGTGCAGCTGATACCAAAGCCAATTCTGACAGCACCTGGTCTCCAGTGTCATCATAACAGGGACGAAAAACTTTATCAGAGCAGTGGCTTTAATATCCCCCCTTTTCTTGACTACCCAGCTGTATAAGCTAAATTTATGCTAAAGTAAGACTATGAGGAGCTTCCAGCCATCTCCAACTTCAGAGCTCTGGGGTCAAGGAAAACAGATTATTGTCCAGCCACTGACTGCATTGGAGTGTAAAGCAGAGAAGTCAGTGACCGAGGTGTCTTAGAAGAGTGACAAGGAAGTTAATAGAGTGCACCAGTCATCCCCTGGCAGTCTCAGAGGTCTCTGCTGTGTATTCAAATCAGGGAATCATAACTACCTCGGTTGTTATGCACTACATCCCAAAATGTTCCTTCTAGCCAAAGTTTGGAGATTATCCAAAAATCTATGTCTGACTTCAAAGCACAAAAGGCAAGTCACCTGCGCTAAGATTCCTCTCACTAGCCTAAAAATGATTTATCTAGTCTAAACTTGCCATGCAGACTCTCACTATAGGCCAGGAGATAGACAAATATAACTAAAGATCAAATCTCTCCACATAACCCACACATTTATCTTAGGAAGTCAATGTGCCTCCACTAACTGTAGAGACAGTCAAATAACCTGCTTCCCTATGTGCCTTTTACCTGGCTGTTGTAAGTTGAGATGGATCCCACCCTCTCTGTCTTCAGAGAATCTCTCACTTCACCTAGTATCAAATTCTTCTCTAAGAAACAAGAAAAACTATGTATTTCAAGCAACTGTGTAGCCAGAATATTAGGGTTTAACATGATAGCTGAATCAGTGTCTGCTTTTCAATTCTCTGCCCAGATTTAATTTTTGAGGCCCTCAATAAAATTCCCAAGGAACTTAACAGGAGTTTTGTCTGCATAAGGATTGTGTATCAAGACCAATATTCAGAAAGTTTAGTAATTGCTCAAAATCTACTTCTACTATTTAAATTCTGTAGTTACAAGAAATTTCATAATTGCAACTTACAACTCCCAAATTTGAGAGGACAAGCATGACCATCCATGGGAAAATCCACTAATCTCATGGGACACTCTGCACTTATTGTAAGCCTATAATGGAACAAATTAAATAGTCTCTGGTTGCCATTTTGTCCGGGCAGTATAACTTTTGCATACAGTAATTGTAAGAAGCTGAACAAACACGTTAGATACCTCATTGTGTACAGGATGGTGCCATTTCTCATTATTCTAAAGAGTTTATTTGGGGCTGTCATATTATGTGCAACAGACTTTTTCCCATTCCTGAAGAAAGTGTCAGGAGTCCAGACCTTTGAAACCATCAAGTTGTTAAGTCTTAATATTTCAATAGGGCCATCATACTTTAATCTTTTGTCTACCCATGTCTGACGGAAGAAGACATCCATTGTATATTCCTGTATTAAATTGCAGAAAAACAAAGATCATATTTGCATGTGTAACTGTTTCCTGTAAAAAAAGAAACCCCTCAGGAGCAAAGAAATCAGCAGTAAAGAAAATGTTAAGTCCACTACACAAACACATTTCCACCAATTAAAGTGTGTTTTGTACTTCTTAATAGCTTAATTTCCCACATTAGGCATATCAATAAATTGCTACACATATTTAATCATTAAGAAATAATTAATCTAATTAGCTTGCAGGAAGCAGGCAATTGAATTTGTAGTCAAGCATATAACTGGAAACAAAATTATCTCTGACAATAAGTGTCAACAGATTTTTAAAGAAAACATATCCATGGATTTTCTGCTGCTGGCTAAATCAAAAATACCAAGACAAATGATTACTGCCACTTTAAAGTCAGGAAAGAAAATTTAATTTCAGCCCATGGAAAGTAAGCTTTTAACTGAAGAAAGCTAAATATTTCCTTTGCCAAGCCCATAAAACATGGATAATAAATTACATACAGACTTGCATATACACACATTTTTTTTTAACTTCATAACTATCCCATTAACTTCCTCAGAAAAGCCATTTGAGTGCTCCAAAGTAAACATGCAAACTACAACTGCAGAACCGCAGACAGAAGCACATTATGAGAAATCATATATAAATGAATGGACAAAAGAATGCATTTCTCATCTTGGGAAGTTAAAGCATTTTACCAAAAAAAGCATCATGTGGCATTGAAAAAGGTAACACAGAAAGCTTTATGTCCTTTCTAACTAACAGTTATGATCTTGTTGTTAAACAAAACGATGTCTTCTGACTTTATTTCAAACTCTTCTGCATAACGTTACCATTGTAACTACTTGTTTGGCCATATCTATTCACATGGGCAAGGAGGCATGTCTGCTAGTGTAATGCATCTTAGAATTATATCTGTCTTCTTTCCCATGGCTGCATCCTCCACTGTGGTTTATAGTTAATCTATGAAAAATCTCTTTTCTAGTGTCATTTCTTGCTGGTGACTTCATAGCTCATAAGTAGCAGTTTCTGTTATTAGCTTCTACATGACAGATTTCGTAATGTAAAATTTCAATCCTTTTCATTACACCGGGTACCAAAGTCACCCGGCTCTAAAAAGACATTCTGATCATCCCCTGTACTGAGACTATCGCACTTTACTGTTTCGGCGAGTTTTATTGGTGCAGACACATTCAGATTACATTGGATCACCAGTGGATACATTAACTAAAAATTATTCCAAACTGATTCCTGGATTTCTGAATAGCGTCCTAACTAATCCCTAACGATGAAAGGGGAAACATCTGTCGGGAACTCTCCTTTTGCCAGTTCCTTACCTACCTTCAGTCCATTTTCTCACTCCTGCCTTCTCCAATATAACTAATAATTTCCCATGTGACACCACATCAAATGCTTTAATGAAACCTGAGAGATCCCATGCAGCCCTCATTTTAAATCTGAGGTACACATTACTGGATTTCTTTGGGACCAGATTCTTGTACCCCTCATCACGCTGCACAGCATCATACTGTACATGACAACCATTGAAGGGGTAGAATGTATTTCAACATGAGACCATTGTCATGAATCTAGCCCTTGAAAAAAATATCTTGCTACCAATCACATACCTTTCCACATGATAGAACCAAATCAGGTGCACCACAAAGTGCATGACAGCACTGTATGGGAAAAAAAAGTTACTGCCCTGAAACTGCCTTTCCCTTAAAGTCATGTTCACTTCAGCAGATACGGCTGTGTTACTTACATGTGATTTCTTGGATATTTTATAAAAAGAGAAACTATTGTACGATTTAAGGGTATACCACTGGATTATAAAGGATGATGAAAGTTATCCCGGATTTGACCTCAAATGAATGCAGATGTCATTCAGGCACAAATAGCAGTACGTGCAAATGTAACGTTTTTCTTCTGTGACTATTTCATGCATGTCACTTTGATGTTCAATTTTTGCAGACACTTGTGAAAACTCTTATCAGTCAAACATTTGTTGAAAGTGATGCTAAAAGGGGCACAAAGATCAGCAAAGGACATTCATCTGAAATGAAAATGTCAACAAGTATTTGTGAAACGATGCCATTATTATTCACCTGAGAATAACACAGGTCTCAGAAAGGAAAGGCAATTTCAAAGACATAACACGTGTTTTTCCCCACAGTAGACTGACTTAGACACTCCCCACAAGGCCTGATTCTGCTTCTATACTATGCAAGTCTGTTTTAAATCCTATGAAGTTAATTCCTTAAGCCAGTCAAAAACCAGTGAAAGTGTGACCAGAATCAGGCTTGATGTATCTAATTATAACCTGTAAATTAAGCTGTTACTAATCTTGTCTACTTTGCATGACTGAACAGTACAGATGAAAACATCCACTCCTTACTGCAGTTAATGGTTTCTCAGAACCAGGAAACAGCATTTTAATCCCAGAAATACATACCATTTCTACATCAGAAACAGGTCCAAAACTGGTGACATATATATCTGTTTTGACTTCAGTAACAGGACCTAATGTATGAAAAGGAAGTGAGCAAGAAAATTTGAATTTTGCAGGTCAACAATTCCCATAAATAATCCTGGTGTGTGAACAGTTATCGCTTTGAGGGTTCTGTGGATGAGCAAGAGCAAAATGCAAATACAGGTCATGTCAGGTAAGTCTCTAGTAACAAGCACTGCTCAATTATCTTTACCACTTAAGTAAATCAAAAGCAGCATTTCCATGCAAAGCCCCATGCAGAAAACCAATGTTGATGCAACAGATAAGAAAACAGATGCCAAAAAATTAAAAGGCTCACTGAAAACACCATGCTAATTAACAACAAGCACCATCGCATTCAGGAAATCCACATTCCCGGAGGCATTTAATACTGACATTCAGTCCTACTGGTAATAACTGGACTACGGATACCAACATGCCATGCACCGGGCAATTTAGTTCTGCAAGATCAAGAACTGCATCCATATGCTGAGATGCACTTAAGTGCTCTAATACTAAAATGCAAATTAAAAGTTGGATATCTAACCAGTTTTGAAGGTCTGAACCTAGATTCAGATGCTACTACAAAGCCTGTCTTAAAAGCACTAGTGATACTAGTCCAAAGCAGTGCTCCAAGCAGAGGTCTTGCACTCTCACAGCTGGGTGCAGCACGGCAACCATCAGAGAAAGCAGTTTGGGTTTAATATATTATTTCCTTTACTACAGGACAAAACACCTTAAAACTTCAGATTCACTCTACAGTACACTCTACAGTTCCCCTTAAACCAAAGAACACATCCACTAACTACTTTCACTGGGATTTAGGTCTGTTTCCAATGTAAAAGGCTAGAAAGCTGCTAATCATTAGAAGTTATTACAATGATTCTGTGATCAAAGCATTAGATAACAGTTTAATTCAGGTAATTAACTCACATCATAAATTAATAAAAAAAAAATCTACTGATGGCCTTAACAAACAGTATGTATTTGAAAAAAATGTATTATCTACAAATTCACAACCCAAGTATCTAAACCTCTGCAACCCAAATTTCTGAAGAGGATAAGTGGCTCAAGTCTGTTAATTCAACCTTTATCATAGTATTTGCAATCAAAAATAAAAGGAGAAAAGACTTAAGACTGTTAGCAGCAGAATAATATGTCTGTCTCTGAAAGAAACAAAAAAAAAAATAAAATCACTGTTCACAGATGTCACTTTGAATCAAACGTTAAAAGGAGAAAAAGAAAGAAGCGACTGGAAAAAAGGGAACCTGTACTTCTTGCACCTAGAACAAGTGTCAAACTGTGAACAAAAAGTAAAATGAAACCATGTAAAATTTTTTCACTAAGCAGTTTTCAAGTTATATAGAGAAGAACAGCTAAGAATTTTTCAGCTAAATGTCAAAAAAGACTTTGCTGGAAGTTAACAGTTTCACAGAGGGACATTTTTTTGAGATAAAATCTAAAGAAAATTCACCCTACAACAGTTGGTAGCTCAGCAGTCCCTGGAAAGTTGGATAGTTTGGCATGTCTGTCTTGAAGAGGTTTTAAGAATAAAATCCCAAGTTCCAGATAACACACTTCTATACAATGCTATTTGGTTTGCGATGGGTTGCTCTCTAAACACGTCAAACGGAAGCTGCTCCCCTTTCTAAAAATAAGTGTTTATCAGGTCAGGGAAATATATGAGTGGTTAGACTACTCCTTTTACTGACAACATAGTCCAATGATATTTCCTGAATACAATTATTTCTGGAGAGCAGAATAGCTCCAAGAGATTGGAAAAACTCTTACTAGAGATGTCAAAATACTGGAAGTGAAGACATTCATCTGCAGCATTAGAAAATAGGGGAGAAAAGCCCAAACATACTTTTACATAGAAACAGAAGAGATCCAATTGTATCTGACCTCTCTTAATCACAAGATGAAAATTTATCGAGGGTTGGCTTAAATATATAAATATTTCACCTGAACTTGAAATGTTTCTGAAATCAAAGTTCTATAGAAATGAAAAAGTCATTTTCCCACATACCTGTAAAAAGAAATGTAGGAATTAGTCTCTCTTACTCAATAATAAAAGAATACTGAATACTGTACTCAGTATCCCAAATCCCTTTCAGGAACTGCTTTGTTTGTTAGTTCTAAGAAACTAAGTAGGAATATTCCTCAAAGAAACTCCAAACCTTTAACTGCTTTCCCCTGGTGATATTTTCTTTCCTTTAGCTCTCAGAACACTGTAATTTTATAATCACATCAAATTGAGCAAAGGGACAGATTTTTCCTACAGGCATGAGCTGCTTCTCTTCAGGCATTGATTTATTTTGTTTTATTAAATGCTTACAGCTTCACAAGCAATAAGTGTTCAGAGATTTTTTGAAGGTTTATTTTTTGAAGTTTCACAGAAAGAGGAAGAGAGCTGAGACCAAGAACCTAATCTCCAAATCAGCAAGCCTTGAGTTCACTCTCCAGTAACTGCTATTCTGCTCTCTAACCTTTATTTATTAGTAGGACCCATGAGAAAGAAGGAACTCCCAGACAACAATGAAGCCACAAAATAAAGTTGAAAGTTTACTTTTGTTTGCTTGCCCAAAATGATGGCAGTACAGTGACAAAACAAACGTTAAAATCACATTTTAGGCAACTCTAAAATGGTAGATGAATGAGGATCTAGAAATATTTTAGAACAAGTCCGGAGGAGGGCCACGAGGATGATCCAAGGGCTGGAGCACCTCTCCTATGAGGACAGGCTGAAAGAGTTGGGGCTGTTCAGCCTGGAGGAGAGAAGGGTCCGGGCAGACCTTATAGCAGCCTTCCAGTACCTGAAGGGGCCTACAAGAAAGCTGGGGAGGGATTTTTTTATAAGGGCAGTTAATGACAGAACAAGGGGAAATGGGTTTAAGCTGAAAGAGGGTAGGTTTAGATTAGATATTAGGAAGAAATTCTTCACTATGAGGGTGGTCAGATACTGGAACAGGTTGCCCAGGGCAGCTGTGGATGCCCCCTCCCTGCAAGTGTTTAGGGCCAGGTTGGATGAGGCTCTGAGCAACCTGGTCTAGTGGAAGGTGTCCCTGCTGATGGCAGGGGGGCTGGAACTAGATGATCTTTAAGGTCCCTTCCAACCCAAACCATTCTCTGATTCTATGATCTTAACAGTTACTCAGCTAGTACTGATGTGCAAATCCTTGCTTTGCACCCAAAACCTATGTCAAACAGTAAAATGTTTGGTAGGAGTGAAGACAGCAGGAAGCAACAGTGAAGCTGATTATCCCCCTAATGCTTTCTCTCCAGTTGCAGCCCTGTCGTGCTCCACATCTTCCACCTACATTGTCAGTTCACAACTGTTAAGGCCAAACCTTGGATTTTCTAGAACATCTCAGTACTTAATGCCAACCCAGGAGTATCTATGGCGACACCAAAACCTATCCCTTATTCTTCTTGTTCTAGAAGAAAACATAGCTCCAGCTGGTAACAATGGCGGGGGTACAAACAGTGAGTCATGCTGCTTTTTTAAGTTAATTAACTATTATTAATCGTGGGAATTCCTGTCAACGAGGAGGTGATCTGTAGTCACCTAACCTACTTTTACTGGTGATTTAAGCAGCCCTCCAAAACGAGCATGTTGCACCACTTAATCAACTCGGGTTCTGCAAGCAGAAGATTCTATTAGAATCCTTAACAGTCTATTACTGGCAATAAAAATGCAGTGAATTGTAAGAAAGCCAATTAACTTCACATATGACCATTTGGGCTTATCCCTCAATGGATGTTCAGAAAGCATCTATCCACCATAAATCTTCAGGAACATTGAAGAACTATTTATAACATACTGGTGTGTATTTTTATGTCAATGAAATAGGAGGAGAGTCCTACACACTGCAGTGGGAACAGTTAAGTCTGAATCACTGCTTGCAAGATAATACACTTTAAAGAAGCTCAGGCAGGATTAAAAGCAACCCCTGCAAAAAGCCAGAATAGTTCAGTGTTAGATAGAGATGTTACACGTGAGCTGAAGAAGCGATGCCAGGCCCTAACCCTGTGAGGAGGAACCTAAGACAGCTCTCCCATGTATTTTATGCCAACATATGGGTTGAACTGCAGCACAGCTCCCAGCGAAAGACTTTGGGCTCCATTATCCCCACGTCTCCATAGGCAACTGTCACTGCAGAGATCTCCACTGTATGTAAACAGTCAAATCCTGCACAGGCTTTCTGTATCTTGCAAATTTTTCCCATCAAGAGGCACGCAAGCAATCAGAAACATTAGCAAACAAGTCTGTATGAATGTTTCAATATACAAAGTACAATTTAAATGCTAAGTGCAGTTATTGCTGCTATTATGAGATTGCTACATGAAATTGTATCAGTTCCTACAGCTACATCTAAAAAAAACCCCATAGTTGCTACAGATTTATTTTTTTTTAATATAACTACATGTGAAAGATTTGGTGCTTTTTCTTTCCAAATTCTTCCTGCCTGGATAGGGTTGATATCTTTTAAGTGAAGGGGGAAAAAAAAGAAACAAACAAAAAAAAAAGTCATCAAGTGAAGCATGTTCTCGTTTCATTCCACCAGAAAGAACAGCTGAGGACACCTGCTATATGTAGGAAGCCTGAACAACTAGGTAGGGCATTTTTAAAATTTAATGTGGAATTCAAACATGTGGGCTACATTCTCTGTGAAAAGACAAATACAACCAACACAGCAGCACACAATAACCTTTGTTTCTACGTATGTTCATCTATCAGCATGTCTGAACCCTGAAAAGGGAAAAGCATTCCTCCAGAAATGAGGAGATTACTGTTTCTTTGCCCATTCATCAGCAGGCAACCTCTGCTGAGACAGCCAACAAGCTTGACACTGGTGCCAGTTTTCATAATGTGGACACCTGTCTACTAAGAACTGGACTAAGAATATCAGCTAATTTTACACAGGTCACTAAACAACAGACAGATGGTAATGACTTCAAGCATTACTAACCTGGGCCAAATTCAAATCAGTCAACTACAGGTATCTAACACCATATCCTGTTAAGCCTT